TGAACAACACAGAGGTTAGAGGCACTGTTCCCCAACACACAAACTTGAAAATCTGCTTATAACTTTTGACCCTTCAAAACAAGCCTACTGTTGACTAGAAGCCTTACCAATAACACTGATAGTTGATTAACATATTTTGTATATTATACGTATTATTTACCATATTCTGACAAGGAATACAAGGAAGCTAAAGAAAAGAAAATGTTATTAAGAAAATCATAAGGGGGCTGAGGGGCCTGGGTAGCTCAGTTGGTTAAGTGTTTGCCTTTGGCTCAGGTCATGGTCCCTGGGTCCTAAGATCGAGCCCCACATTGGGCTCCCTCCTCAGCAAGGAGTCTGCTTCTCCCTCCCCTCCTCCTCTTGCGTGTGATCTCTCACTCTCTCAAATAAATCAATAAACAAAATCTCTCTTTTTTTTTTTTTTTTAAGAAAATCAATTAAGCATCTGAATCTTGATTTTGGTTCAGGTCACGTTCTCAGGATTGTAAGATGAAGTCCCGCTTCAGCTCCAAGCTAAGTGTGGAGCCTGTTTAAGATTCTCTCTCTCCCTCTGCCCCTCCCCCTTTCTCTCTTAAAAAAAAAAAAAAAGAAAATCATAGGAAAGAAAAAATACATTTACAGTATATATTGTACTTATCAGAAAAAAAATTCACGTGTATATGGACCCATGCAGCTAAAACATGTTGCTCAAGGGTCAACTGTATTCTGTTACAGAAATTCTTGAGTAGTTCCTTTCAGTTATGTGTAAGTGTAAGCCAAGTAAACATCTAATGTTTTAGAAAAAGGTGTAACTAGCCATTTTTTTTTTTAAGATTTTATTTTATTTGACAGATAGAGATCACAAGTAGGCAGAGAGGCAGGCAGAGAGAGAGAGAGAGGAGGAAGCAAGCTCCCTGCCGAGGAGAGAGCCCGATTCGGGGCTCGATCCCAGGACCCTGGGATCATGACCTGAGCCGAAGGCAGAGGCTTTAATCCACTGAGCCACCCAGGCGCCCCGTAACTAGCCATTTTTTGACTAAACAAAGCCTCTCCCCCATCATTCACAACTCAATACCATACCATTCAAGAAACTTTCTGAACTACCTTCCTCTATTACAAAGTATATGTGTGTAGGAGGTGAGGGTCCCTATTACGTTATCAGATAATTGCAGCATCAGATAGGCTAAAATTACCTCAAACTTCTTCTTTTTTTTTTTAAGATTTTATTTATTTATTTGACAGACAGAGATCACAAGTAGGCAAAGAGGCAGGTGGTGGGGGGTGGGGAGCAGACTCCCTGCTGAGCAGATATCCTGATGTGGGGATCGATCCCAGGATCCTGGGATCGAGCCCCACATCAGGATCTCTGCTCAGCAGGGAGCCTGCTTCCTTCTCTCTCTCTGCCTGCCTCTCTCACTACTTGTGATCTGTCAAATAAATAAATAAAATCTTTAAAAAAAAATCACTGGGTGTACAATCAGTAGCACCTTCTACAAAAGTTTGTAGAGAGGAGGTAGTGAAACTCACTTTAGTTCATTTCACCTGCATTGCTAACAGCCCTCAGGAATGGGGATCAGTAGGGGATAAAACCACCAGCTAAAACATCATCTGAATTTACTCACGGCATGGTATTATTCCTAGTTTGCCAGTGTTGGCCTCTAGTACATAAATCATGGAGCTGGACAGCTAAATACACCAAAGCCTCTCCCATATGGTATTCTAGTCACCACTGTTGACTTTCCTAACATCATCCTTTCTTCCACATTATGGTCACCATCTGCTTACCACTGATTATTGCACCAATTCCATTCTCAACTAATATCTTTTTACCAGCAATTCATGGTGCTTACAGAATCACTAAATACCAAGATTGAAAAGAACCCTAAAGTCCGTATTGGCAGAATGTTCTCTGTCTCTATCTTCAGTTCCCTTCTTAAGCCTTGTTCCTACCCTCCTCAAAGCTTCCCCTTTCTCAATGTCTGTTCCTAGCAGTTTTTCCTATCACAAACCCCTATATCCTCACTGCTTCTATAAATATCACTGTCCCTATTTCAATATGTTAAGTTCTGGTTCTACAACTGAGATCTTGAGTTTCAATCTTCAGTCATATCCAGTCACCTCAATTATATTTGGGAAGCCTTCTCCAATTAAGTCAATCTGATGGAGCCTATCCCCCTTCACCCCTGCCCCAGCCATAGAGCCAGTCTTTGAACTTCTAAACAGTCCCCTAAACAAAGAATCATGGCATTTTAGACCTGAAAGAAAACTCAGAAATAAACTGAGTTTAAACATTTTTACTACATTTCATACATTTTAGGATATATGAAATCAATTTTACATCATCATCTCATACATACATAACTGAAACAAGTTTCATGAAACAATACTATGTGAACACACTGAAAATTCCTACTGTATTCCATTAAAAGAAATTCAGGTGCTATCCACTAAACAGATTTCATAACCCAATAATAGTATGGAACCCCTAGTCTAGTAAACTTTAGTCCAAACTTCCCATTCACTGATGAAAACCCTGGAGCTGATAGGGTGCCTGGATGTCTCAGGCCTTATGAGTCTGCTTTCGGCTCAGGTCATGATCCCGGGGTGCTGGGATCGAGCCCCAAGTCAGGCTCCCTGCTCAGCAGGAACCTTGATGCTCCCTCTCCCTCTTGTGCTTCCTCTCTCAATGACACTGTCAAGTAAATAAATAAAATCTTTAAAAAAGAAAGAAAAAAAAACTGGAGCTGGGCTTTGAGGTAAGTTTTCCGTCACAAGACGTTTGTCCATAAATTTAAACTCAGGTCTGGTAAGTGCCACCCAGACCCGCGTTCTTTATACTACACACCTTCCCTGCCCAGTCATGACCGCTCAACCACACCCTGTGCCCGAACACAACCCTGCAGTACCATGTCCAGGCACCGAGCCCACACTGTTGTCAAAGTCAGCCCCTCAAAGTTACTGCTCCTGAGTCAAAGACCCGCCCCCCTCCCCGCCCCTGGCCGCTGCTTCAGGTTCCCTTAGATCGGATTCCCTGCACAGTCACTATCCCTCCACCCGGAGTCTCCTCCGGGGCACTGTCTCAGACTTTCTCGGTCATAGTCCTCTCGCAGCCTCTGCCTCGTGCTCTCCGAGGTCAGAGTCCCTTCGCATTCACCGCTCCTGGGTCGCACACTCCTCGCAAACAGCTACCTCTCGGTCACAGTCCCCTCGCTGTCACTGCCCAGGGTCACAGCAGCCTCGTAACCTCTCCACGCACTCCCCTCGCTGTCACTGACCCAGTCTTCAGTCAGTCTCCTGGCGGTCCTAGCCACACAGCGTGTCCTCTCAGAGACAGCCGCGAGATGCACACACCGGATCCTCACCTGCAGCTCACGCTCCGCGGGCCCGAGCCCCGGCAGCTTTCTCCCGGGCACCGCGTCACGGACAAGGGAAGTTGAAGAGGTTGCGGGGAGACGCCCGGGAAAGGCAGCTGACGGAACAGCGGCCCGGAAGTCCCGCCTACTGCCCGCCTTCTTGTCAATCCGACTACGACATTTCCCTGAAAACCATGACTCCTGACTCAGTAGTTCCGCTCTCCAAAGGGATGGCGTGGCTGAATAGAGAACGCAGGACACAAGAGATGAGGTGGCTAAGGGCCAGTCGCCATGCGGAACTGGAGTTTGGGGTGAAGACGCCTCCTCGTGGGGAGTTACGGCCGTGGACGTCGCGCGTGCTCGCTGCCAGTCGGGGAGGACCTGCCCTCTCCGGCCTTTCCGCCCCGTCCCGGGCCTCTGGCGCAGGGCAGGTGGCCGTGACGCCTTCCGCCGGAGACCCCTCGGCCCGCGGCTGCTTCACCCCAGCGCCAACTTTGCCCTACTTGGTAACGAAGGGAGAATTCCTGTCCGTCCGCCCAGCCCTGTGGTGACCTGTAGCCGGTCCCAAACCCTCGTTTCCGTTATTTCTGACCCAGGTTGGCTCTCCCATAAATGATTATTAGCCGAGGTCTAGTTGATTAGGAGCGGAATCAAGGGAGGCCAGCTGGTAGGAAACCACATGTAGTAGGGTATCTGGTAGAGAAACGTTTTCCTTTGCTAGAATGAACCTTTGGAGGGGTCACTTTTGATTCCACAGATGCAAGACAAGCAAATACCCAATGTTAAGGGAGAAGAATGTAAAAGAACTTTAAATATATTTATTACTGTTTTTTTGTCTACATGCTTGACTTGAAAGTGGCTGAGAAGAAAAGTGGGTGGATACACTCAGGACTGTACTGAGGAGCCCCCAGGGAGAAACGGGATTTAAATTGTAACCCTTTCTCTTTTGAATTTCAAATAGTTACTTGAACGTGGCTTGGAAACTGAGGTGCTCCCAATAAGGGCTGCTAGCTGGAGAAGACGCCAGGGGCTACAACGGGGAACATCACTATAAAGAGAGTGGGAACTTGGATAGTAACCAAAATAATCTCCCAAGTTTCAAAGAAGGGCCGATTTCATACACAACTTGGACACTGTGTCTGACACTATGGCAGACCCAGGAGAAAATGAATGTGCATTTCACCTAATAAGCTGTGTAAGGTGTAAGATGGCAATAGCAAAGCAGAAACAATGGATAGGAGATAAAGACAACAATTTAGAATGTACCAAAAAACCTTTATGCACAAATAAATTCATGCCAGTGTTATTTATAATAGTGAAAATTTATAATCAATCCCTTAATAAGGAAATGGCAACAGTTACCAATGGTATAACCTAGTGGAGTGAGTGCAGCTATTAAATTATGCTTATGAAAATCATAATGGAAATAAAATGACATTAAACACTGCTCATGACATGAGAAGTGAAAAATCAGGGTACAAAATTGTATATATGATTTTTTAAAACCCTGAAAATAAAAACACACTGGTAGAAAATATATCCAAATATTTACAATTGGTTATGTTTGAACAACTGAAATATGAATTTCCCCCACTTTCCAAATACAATTAAGAACATATTACAACAAAATCAAAACACTAAAATACAAGGCCTAAAACTGAATAGACTCAGTTGCCAAAATGCCAAATTATCTTTATTTTGTTGAGATATTTAACAATATAAAAAAGTTTATATTTCTTCATGGTCATATTTTTACCCAACTTTTCAAAGATTCAATAGTAGAAACAGCCGAATGCCGCTACAACACAGAATAAACTGTCCTAAAAAGCAAACAAAACAAAACACACACAAATCCAGAACGTTAGTACTAATGAAGGGCTAAGGGGTAGCAAAGGCAATTGAAATGAACATCATCTCAGATCTTTGCCAGTTTTCAATCACAAAGGTTTTTCCTTCAATATACAAAGGGTTTCCAAAATATAGCTATAAAGTTGCTTGCTTCAGGGTAACTACAAAATTGCTTGCTCAAAGGGTAGGATGGGTAAAGAATTAGACTTTCTGAAGGTAGAAGTAAAATGCAAACTAATGAACCTCATGTAATTCATTTCCATAAAATGAGTAGTCCCATTTTTCCTAATTTATCACAGAAATAACAATATGAAATGTTTTGAGTTTCTTGGGAGTAAATGCATAATGATATTATATCATAGATAAAAATAACAGCATCTTGGGGTGGCTCAGTCAGTTAAGCATGGACTCTTGATTTTTGACTCGGGTCATCATCCCAAGACCATGATCAAGCCCCACCTTGGGCTCTGTGCTCAGGAGGGAGTCTGCTCAAGATTCTCTCTCTTCCTCTCCTTCTGCTCCTCCTCCTATGCGTTCTCATTCTCTCTCAAATAAATAAATCTTTAAAAAACGTAACAGCACCTGTCATAAATTCTGGGTCAGGGCAAATGGCATCTGGGTGTTTGTTCTTAATTGATAAAATCCATTTATCTTTTAACTCAATCACAGTTAAACTTGTTAAAACACTTTTTAAGTTATTATTAGAGGAGTTCCAACTACCTCAGTGACTCCTGAGACCAGCAACTCTCACCTCCAGCCTGGTACTACTGGGAGAAAACAATCTAAACTTAAGTACCTGATTACTAACCAAAGCAAAATTCTTTGGTTAAGCCCAGGTCCCTGTATCCTTGGGTGGGAGAACCATGAGCTGCGTTCTACAATCATGCTATCTGTGGTGAGAAACCCGTTTTTTTTTTTTTTAATTGTCCAGGCCTTATGGACTGATACTTTTGTAAAATACAATAAAAATTAGTAAATGGGAAAATGAAATGAAAAAAGAAACATACAAAATATAGCCTAAACTTTTTATTATTAAATTTATCAATATAAAATTACTTTGTCCAATTCCTGTAAGAGTTTTTAAACTCTTACACTCTATGTACTTCTCTTATGAAGGATCTGTGACCACACAGTGTAAGGACTGGCAATGGTCTATGGATTCCACTTTGGCTGTTCTACAGCACCTCCCAGAGTTCACCATGCCTGTCTTGTTCAAAATTTTATCCCTCGCACCCCCAGGGGAGGCTGGCACCTAATGGGAGCTCAGATTATTTGCTGAATGATTGAACTGTGTTGTATAAGGATTCAGTAACTCCAAAAAGCAGGAGAAACCATCACCTTAGCTTGACCCTTCCCCTAGAGAGCTGATAAATGGGATTTACACAGTACTTTCTACTATTCAGCCCTTGTTCCCTAAGGGAGTTGAACATAAAATGAAACTTTGGTAGGACCATAGAATTTTAGAGCTAAAAAGTATCTTAAGATGACATCAACACAAGCAACTTCCAAACCTGGCAGTAAGCATAATCATATGGGTAACTTTTTTAAAAATTCAGATTCACTGATTTGACACCAGACTTATTTGATCAGAATCTACTTGAGTAGGGTCTTGGCATCTGTACTTTAAACAAGTCCCCCATATTATTTTTAGGCAACCACAGCTGTTCTTTGGGAAAATCTAATAAGCTTCCTAATGTTACTTGATACAATCAGAGAAAAGTCCAATGACACCTGAAGTCATTCAATTAGAAAGTTACCGAGCTGGAAATGGAACCCCTCTCTTAATTCACTCAACCAAGTTTCTGTTCTATTCTACTATACTTTAACTCTGAGTCTACTAATTCACAACCTAGGGATCATTTCTGGAAGCAAGTATAACAACATATGATTAAAATATATAAAACATTCAGCCAATAATGTACCAGTGTTTAAATGAAATCTCTTTTTAAAAATTTCTCTTTTGCTTAGTTTTGAAAATAGCTTTAAGATAAAATAATTTTATTACTGAATGAAAATCACCTTTGCTCATGAATCCCTGCCACCCCAATTTCTTTTGTTTTTTTTTTAAAGATTTGAGAGAGAGAGAGAGAGCACGAGTTGGCGGCAAAGGCAGAGGGAGAGGGAGAAGCAGACTCCCTGATGAGCAGGGAGCCTAATGCACGATTTGATCCCAGGACCCTGAGATGATGACCTGAGCCACAGGCAGACGCTTAACCAAGTGAGCCACCCAAACACACCCCTGCCAACCCAGTTTCTTTATAGTTAGCCAAGTGCCACATGTCTGTTAGCACTAAATAAATGATATTCTCAAAATCAAACTTGTAAAGAGTTATATCATTTGTACACCTACAAGTCTCCCTTTGGGCAACACATTAGATTACTTCTGCTTTAGTAACACAGTAAAGGAACAGTAAAGTCATTTCATCCAGGAGTCAAAGACAGACATCTAAAACTAAAGTGTCCTCATATCTTAATAATATTAACTTGACTTGGAATGTCCACATGTCCTTGGAAAGGAAAAAGAGGCTTTCAAATAGACTTACATTCATGAAAACATCGCAAGTGTAGTTGTCAGTGTCAGCATCCCAGAAACAGCGAGCGGCCATGCTGAGAAGTCAAAGAATGCAGAATTATAAATAATAGAACAAGGATCTGAACTATATCTATTTGCCATGAGCAAAAGTTTTCTTGGATACAGTTTTTAATTTATTTTTTTAAAGATTTTATTTATCTGACAGAGAGAAAGATCACAAGTAGGCAGAGAGGCAGGCAGAGAGAGAAGGGGAAGCAGGCTCTCTGGAGCCTGATGCGGGGCTCGATCCCAAGACCCTGGGATCATGACCTGAGCCGAAGGCAGAGGCTTAACCCACTGAGCCACCCGGGCGCCCCACATTTTTTAATTTAAATTCAGTTAGCCACATATAATACATCATGAGTTTTTGATGCAGTGTTCAATGATTTATTAGTCGCATATAACACCCAGCACTCATCAGATCATGTGCCCTCCTTAATGCCCATCACCCAGTTACCCTTTCTCCCCCACCCCCTCCCTTCCACAACCCTCAGTTTGTTTGTTTTTTAAGATTTTTATTTATTTTATTTATCATTATTGTTTTTTAATTTTATTTATTTATTTGACAGATCACAAGTAGGCAGAGAGGTAGGCAGAGAGGCAGAGGGGGAAGCAGGCTCCCTGCTGAGCAGAGAGCCCGATGCGGGGCTCTATCCCAGGACTCTGGGATCATGACCTGAGCCGAAGGCAGAGGCTTTAACCCACTGAGCCACCCGGGTGCCCCAAGATTTTTATTTATTTTAGAGACAGAGAGCACAAATTGGGAAGAGAGAGAGAAGCAGGCTCTCCGCTGCACTAAGAGCCTGATGTGGGGCTGAAACCCAGGATCCTGGGATCATGACCTGAGCCAAAGCCAGATGTTTAACCAACTGAGCCACCCAGGAGCCCCAACCCTCAGTTTGTTTCTCGGAGTCAAAAGTTTCTCATGGTTTGTCTCCCTCTCTGATTTCTTCTCTTTCAGTTTTCCCTCCCTTCCCCCACAGTCTTCTGTGCTATATCTTTGATACATTCTTATAGATGAGTGCTTCCAAACCTTTTCACAGGTTGCCACATAGAAAATCCTATTTGTACAGCAGAATATACTGGATAAACTAGAAGGGACTGAAATCATAGATGTAACTGGAGGCGACACCCCAGGGACTCTTAACAACCCCAGACTCTGACCAGCTGCCTGACAGCCTAAGTGGTCAATACCTTGAGTCTTTGGTATTTTGGGTGGGAAGTTATTATAGATTACTTCAGCCAAGATATTTTTGTGTAAATTTTAGAGGAAATACTATCTAAGACTTATGACTGAAATCTTGCACAATAATATAAAAAAGTAGGTCTGGAAAAGACCTAATAGATTATTTTGTCCACTGTGATCATTTTGTAGAGTGCCAGAAAAGAAAGGGACAAACTCTGAACTAGAACTCAATCTAACTAGTTCTGAACCCAGTATTCTCTCTATAGAATTGCTACACTGCCTCCGAATTCTCAAATTAACCATTATCTCCCCAAATCTTGAGAAAGACAGAATGTTAGGCAAAATAAAAGTCAGTTAAAAAATGGAAACAATTTGGGGTGCCTGGGTGGCTCAGTGGGTTGAGCCTCTGCCTAGCTCAGGTCATGATCTCAGGGTCCTGGCTTCGAGCCCTGCATCAGGCTCTCTGTTCAGAGGCAAGCCTGCTTCCCCCCCCCCCGCCCCCCTGCCTACTTGTGATCTCTCTCTGTCAAATAAATAAATAAAATCTTTTTAAAAAAATGGAAACAATTTTATGGGACGCCTGCCTGGCTCAGCTGGTGGAGTATATGACTCTTCATCTTGGGGTTGTGGGTTCAAGACCCATGTTGGGTACAGAGATTACTTAAAAATAAAAATTTTAAAATAAATAAATAAATAATGGAAATAACTGAAATGCACAGTAGTAAGTAGTAGAGGAAATCATGGTATTTTATGGCAATGAAATTCTATGTAGCCATTAAAGAGATATTTTATCAAAACACAAAAACATTTACAAAATTTACAAAAAATGAAAATATGTTCACAATACAATGTTAAGTGAAAAAATTACAAATGCTTTTATATTTTTAATACATGTATGTATGTATGAGTCATCATTAAAATTTATTGAGCACTTAACTTTGTACCAGCCACTGGTCTAAGTGCTTTACATGTATTGACTTACTTAATCCTATGAAGTAGGTACTATTTTTTAAAAAGATTTCATTTATTTATTTTAGAGGGAGAGAGAGAGCAGGGAGAGGACCAGAAAGAGAGGGACAAGCAGACTCAGAGCTGAGTGCAGAGCACTACACAAGGGGTTGGACCCCAGGACCCTGAGATCACGACCTGAGCTGAAATCAAGAGTCAGCCACTTAACTGACTGAGCCACCCAGGAGCTCCTGCTATATTATTAAACCCATTTAATAAATATGGAAACTGATTTATCAGACAAAGTAAGTAAACTTGCCAAGGTCAAACAAACAGTGACAAAGCTGTCCTTGAACCTAAGCAGTTCAGCTTCAGGTTATAGAGAAAGATATACATATATCATAATGATATTGTTTTTTTGGTGTTTTTTTTTAACTAGGCTTCATGACCAACATGAAGCCCAACATGGGGCTTGAACTCACAACCCTGTGATCAAGATGTAAGATATCAAGAGTTGGATATGCCTAACTGACTGAGCGACCCAGGTACCCCCCGTTCATTTTGGGAAGTGTTTGGTTTTTTTTTTTTTTTAGTAGAAAGTTTTGTATAGACGAACTCTCCAATCCGAATATTTCACACTTTCTTAAGTCAAAAAAGTTCCACCTATTTCTAAACTGCAAATAAAATTAACCTTAATCTATCACCAATAAGGATTTATTTAGCAACTACTATATGTCCAAAAAGAATAAAACCTGTCTCAATCCTCAATCCCTCAATTTAATTAGGTGAAAAAATTAACACATAAAAAGAATAAGTTAATGTATAGTTGATGCTAATTTATAGGTTCTCAGGATTCAAAAGAATTGTAAAGCCTGTCTAGTCCAAGTCCAGTCACATAACATTTGAACTAAATTTGTAGAAGTGCTACAAAAGTTAGAGAATTTAGACAGAAGGAAAAAAAAAAAACAGAAAACAATTCATGAAGGAAGTGGTAGTTAAGCTGAGTGGAACCAAGTGAAGGCAGGAATATAAAAATTTACTTGACAAATATTTGTTGAGGGTCTGTTATATATGAAGGAAGTGCTAGGTGCAAATGATACAAAGATCCATAAAACACAATCTTGCCTTAAAGTACAGTCTATATTTACACCCTTTGCCAATAAAAAGAACCAGGGCTCCTCAGGGAAATGATCAATTCCAAGTGTAGGACTAGAAATGTGTAAGATAAACCTGAGACTTCTGGGTCACACCCAAAGATTTGCATAGACAAACTCTCTTGTCTTCGACCCAAAGACGAACTTTGGGTCACACTCAAAGCCTGGGCTATACAGAAAGAAAAAAATGCTATATTTAAGTATATATATTTGTGTCAAAAAGACTCAGAGGTATGATGGAACACTGTGTAACAGGCCAGTGTTCCCACCAAGATTAATTAGCAAGGCTGTATAAAATGAATCAAAACGCAGCTGGAGTAAGACTAGGGGAGACCAAATTCCAGAAAGAGGTGAACTGCAAGGAGGTAAACTGATATCCTGCGTGGGAATTCTCCCTGAGGCAACTGCCAAATCCAGGCACAGAATTAGAAGCTAAAAATCCAGGCTTTGCCCCTCTAGAACACCAATTACTCAGGGAAAAAGAAACCAGCAAGACTTGCAGGGCTATGGAGATAAAATTGGACACTTGAAGGACCAAAAGGAGAAAGTGGAACTGAGCCTGTCACATGGTAGGTTTTCCCCTTAAGACACGTGCTGAATTCTGAAACTGAAAGCCAAGTGTGGCAGGCAAAATTATGGCCCTCTCAGCAAACATATCTATGTCCTAATCCCCAAAACCTGTGAATATGTTACCTTATATGGCAAAAAATAAAATAAAAAGAATTTTACAAATATATGATTAAGGATTCTGAGATGGGAAGAGTACCCTGGATTATCCAGGTGGGTTCAATGTCATCACAAGGGTCCTTATAAAAGAAAGGTGGTGAGAGAGTCAGAGAAATATTTGAAGATGCTATGCTGCTGGCTTTGAGGATGGAGGAAGGGTTTATAAACTAAAGAATGCAGGCAATCTCTAGAAGCTGGAGGAGGCAAAGGAGTGGATTCTCCTCTATAACCTCCAGAAGGAATGCAGTCCTTCTAATACCTTGATCTTAGCTGAGTTAAACGCATTTTGGATTTATGATCTCCAGAAATGTAAAATAATATTTTTATGCCACTGTGTTTGTGATAAACTTTTTAAGTTTATTTACTTACTTATTTATTTATTGGCATCTGTACACCCAGTGTGAGGCTCAAACTCAAACTGTGAGATCAAGAGTCGCACTCTCTTCCAACTGAACCAGCTAGGTGCCCGTGATAACTTTTTGCAGCAGCAATAGGAAACCAATACACTAAGGAAAAAACGTTGAACTAAAGAGTAGTTTCATACTGAGGAGACAAATATAAAAGTCAGTACCTGATGAGGGTGGGGTCTCAATGAACATTTCAGGTTCTTAGTTGAAAGATCTGGAGGGCTACATTCAAGAAAGAAGGGTGAACTGAAGGTAGCACAGGCATGCTGAGAGACAGAGTCACATAAAGGATTACCATGGGAAAAAAAAAAGTCAGTGGAAACAGAATCACACATGATCCAGATAGGAGAATAACCAGACAATGACTTTAAAATAACTGCTATGACCAAAATGTAAAAAGGGAGGAGAGAGGAAAGATAAAGAACATAGATAAAAAATAATTTCACTGGCCTCACTGACTGCTCCTAGCGGGTCCAGGAGGTGAGGCAGCATGTGTGGTGCTAAGGTTGGTCAGAGCTGTGACCAGAGCATTTGTGAAATGCACAAAAGTGCAAAGACTGAAGAAGAGGAACATGAGGACACTCTGGATTAATCAAATTACAGCTGCCTCCCAGGAACACGGTTCGAAGTACCCAGTATTCACTGTCAATTTAATAATATGCCAGGTGGAGCTCAACAGTAAAGTACTTGTGGGTCTAGACATCTGTGAACCAAAGACTCTTAAATCTGTGGCTGCTTTGACCAAAAGGAGATGACAGGTAGGATTTGCTGCTGCCTTGGGCCATAGGACGGAGCCGGAAAGCATATTCTCCAGAGTGGTGCAGTACCACCGAGGTACACTGCCTGCCCTTTCCAGTTGAGTGTCTTAAGAAAAGGTTTTTTTTCCCCTGATGATCACAATAACTAAAATAGCGGCCAAAAACTACTTGTGAACAATATGTAAGTTTGATCAGCAATTATCTTCATTTACATTTTAGTAACAGACATGAAAGAAAGGCCCCTTCTTCCCTCATTGGGACAGATTCAGAAATCTCTTAAACAAATTCTTCAAATAAAGCTCATGTCTGTGTGTCTGGGTGCCTCAGTTGATTTCACTAATGAATTAGAATCTATAAAAAAGAATCAAATGGGTATTCTAGACCTGAAAAACATAATAACTGATATTAAGAATTCAGTCAGTGGACTGAATAACAGATTAGACACAACAGAAAAGAGAATTAGTCAACTAAAAGGTCAATAGAAAAATATCCAAAAGGAAGCACAGAGAGAAAAAACAAAAACCTAGAGAAGAGCATAAGAGACCTGTGGAATATAGTAAAAAGAACATCTCAATCCAAGTATAGGTAATTGGAGTCCAAAAAGAACAACAGAGCAGAAGCAATATTTAGAAAGTTCATAGCCACACCTAGTGCCCAGATGTTAGTTTCTAATGCCATTCTCCAATAAAATGAACCAGAGCTCCTTGAGAAAATGGCTAATTATAGGGCTGGCATTGGGAATGAATATGATGAAGCATCTTATAGTGCCAGTAAGTAAGGAAGTGCTCAAAAAACCCCACAATAGGGGCACCTAGGTGGCTTAGTTGGTTAAGTGCCTGACTCTTGATTTCGGCTCAGGTCATGATCTAGGGATTGTGAGATTAAGCTCTGCGTCATTCAGTGTAGAGTCTGCTTAAGGATTCTCTCTTTCTCCCTTTCCCTCAATCCACCCACCCACTCACACTCTCTTGCTCTCTTTGTCTCTCAAATAAATAAATCTTAAAAAAAAAAAAAAAAACCCACAATAGTAGGGTATACCGAAGGGACACAAGAGGCAACTGAAAGAGTTGCCAATGGCAAAAGTTGGGACATTGAGCAATAAAATAAATAAGGTAGCACTAGAGTATAATCTAAAGTACAAAACTCCTGTAAATAATAAATAAATAAATAAATAATAAGAAAGATACAATTAGCAAATGCTAGACTGTAGGAAACTCTACATGACAACCCCATTTCTTCAACAATTAAATGGCGAGGTAAAAAAGAGAGAAAGAGAAAGAAAGTAATAGATTAAAAGAAATTTAAGAGACGTATTGTTTAAAAGCAGTGGGTGGCCTTTATCTGGATCCTGCTCTGAACAAACTGTAAAAAAGAATATAAACACATAATTATGTGCACACAAATACACACACATACATAGCTGATCTTTGAACAACTTGGGTTTGAACTGTACAGATCCACTTATGTGCAGATGTTTTTTCAATAAATAGAGTACTATAAATATATTTTCTCTTCCTTTTGATTTTTTAAATAACAGTAACATTTTCTTTTCACTAGCTTATTTTGTTGTAAGTGTATAATATCTTTATAAAATATGTGTTAATTGACTGTTTATGTTATCAGTAAGGTTTCCAGTCAACAGTGGGCTATTAATAGCTAAGGTTTTGGGGAGTCAAAGCTATATGCAGATATAAAAAGTTATTTTTGACTGTGCAGGGGTTGACAAGCCTAACCCTCGTACTGTGCACAAGAGTAAACTGTACTGTATAATATTAAGGATCGACAATATTTTAGATGTGATGATATATTATTATGTTAAAAAGGGATATTGTATATTAGAGATATTGTATACTGTTGTGTTTACAAATGAAATGGTACAATGACTGGAATTTGCTTCAAAATAATCTGGTGGGACAGGGAGAGTAGGTACAGGTATAAATAAAACAACATCCAGATGTGCTGACAAACTCTGAAGCTAAGTAATAGAAAAAAGGGAGTTCCTTAGTCCCTGTACGGAATTTTAGATGATAAAATTTTTAAAAAGGAGGACAGTGACCTTGAATGCTACGCTTTAGAGTTTGGCCTTATCACGTTTTACAAAGTGAATCATAACCAGTTTAAGGAGTTTATATTTGACAGGGTTTAAAATAAACTCTGAAAAGTTTATGGCAAGAAAATGAGGCGTGCTTCAGAAAGACCGGTCTAGTATACAAAATGAATTGTAGAGGAAAGAGACCAGAGTCTGGCAATGCTGATAAAGGGCTGCTAAGGAAGCCTGGCCTCCAGATTACAGTGCATGTGGGGGGAGAGAGTAATGGCTCAACATGACAAAAGAGGATTTCAAGGTTTTAAGCCAGAGTTAATAAAAGCTTTGCAATACTGTGAAAGACAGAGAAATTAAAATGGCAGGCTGACCGAAGGAGAAGAAGGGAGAAGAAATTTGCAACTGTATTTGAACATGTTGAATCTGAGCTGATAGAGTAGTGAGGTATTTCTTTATATCACTGAGGTGAGAAAATATCTGGAAGCCTTCTGAGCAAATGGCAAGGGGCACCATGGTGAGGATTACTGTGCCAGAAGTCAGAAGGCCAGGCTCTATTAGTTTATCTGACACCAGCCAGATACATAATTTGGAGTAAATCATACTGATCCTCGTAAGTGTCATCTGTAAATTATGGGGAGTAGACACTAGAAAATATCCATAGTCCCTTCCAAATCTAACATTCTATAGTAAAAATTTTCAGGGATAATATCTACAAGGTATTTTAAAAATTCATTCAACAACTACTTTAATACTTTGTTATAAAATATACTCAGTACTGGTGCCTGGGTGGTTCAGTGGGTTAAAGCCTCTGCCTTCAGCTTGGGCCATGATCCCAGGGTCCTGGAATCGAGCCCCACATCGATCCCCGCATCGGGCTCTCTGCTCAGCGGGGAGCCTGCTTCCTCCTCTCTCTCTGCCTGCCTCTCTGCCTGCTTGTGGTCTCTGTCTGTCGAGTGAATAAATAAAATCTTAAAAAAATAATAATAATAAAAATTTAAAAATAAAATAAAATATACTCAGTACTGTTTGCAAAGGAAAACAGGAGCTTAACACTCGGGCATAGGGAAAGACAGGAAATACACATTTTGAACTCACCAGTACATGAATGACAGTTTGAGGTCATGAGAATGAATGAGCTAATTGAAAAAGCAGTGGGAAGAGCAGAAGAACAAGAACTGAGCCTTAAAGAAAGCTCAGAGCTGGCGATGTAGGGAAGAAAGAGGAACCAGGAAAGGAAAGAGAAACACAGGAGAAATAAGTTAGATAAGTGACATCAGGGCCAAAATAAACTGGAATGAATATTAAGAAATAGAAGCCCAGGAGGCCCCTGAGTGGCTCAGTTGGTTGAGCATCTGCTCTTGACTCAGGTCATGATTCCAGGGTTCTGGGACCAAGCCCCATATAAAGTTGGCTTCTCCCTCTGCCTCTCTTCCCAATCATTCTTGCGAGCACTCTCTCTCTCTCTCTGAGATAGGTAAATAAAATCTTTTTTAAAAAATTATTTAAGGGGCGCCTGGGTGGCTCAGTGGGTTAAAGCCTCTGCCTTCGGCTCAGGTCATGATCCCAGGGTCCTGGGATCGAGCCCCACATCGGGCTCTCTGCTCAGCAGGGAGCCTGCTTCCCTTCCTCTCTCTGCCTGCCTCTCTGCCTACCTGTGATCTCTGTCTGTCAAATAAATAAATAAAATCTTTAAAAAAAAATTATTTAAAAAAAGAAATAGAGGCGCCTGGGTGGCTCAGTGGGTTGAGGCCTCTGCCTTCGGCTCAGGTCATGATCCCAGAGTCCTGGGATCAAGCCCCGCATCGGGCTCTCTGCTCAGAAGGGAGCCTGCTTCCTCCTCTTTCTCTGCCTGCTTCTCTGTGATCTCCGTCTGTCAAATAAATAAATAAAATCTTTTTAAAAAAATAAATAAAGAAATAGAAGCCCAGGCCAAGAACAAGAGCTAAGAAAGGACTACTAGATATGTTAATAAGGAGGTCTCATACAATTTTAAAGAAATTAATTTGGAATGATAGGAACAAAAACCAGGCAAGAAGGAATTTAAGGAAAAAAAAAAAAAAGAAGGAACTGAGGAAGAAACATATACATAGTGCCATACTGGACTTAGGAGCACATATACATGAACCCTAAAAGACCTACTGGCCTACAGATACTAGGAAAAGTGAGAAGTGAGTTACCTTGCAGAGCTCACCCACACTGTCAACCACACTGTTCTGTACCAGGATCTTTTTGGTTCACAGCTGCATTTTGTTATACTGTCATTTCCTCTCACTCTTACACAGATACAATCTTACTGAATTGTCAGGATGAATACCTAAGAAGAAACACTTAAGAGTAAAAACAAGAAGGAAAAACCAACTACTCACAATACTCCTTCACCTCTTTGTTCTCCAATCACTACTTGTACCACCATTTTGTATCGGTCAAATCCCATTTCTAGAAAAAAATAAGAGAGTTATCTATAAGTAAAAGTGGTAAAGTTATTTAATGAAGATAAATTTGCCTAGAAAGGAATACAAGTATTCAGTTCACAAGCACTGGCTGAGTAGGATGGTAAGCCTGGGAGTCAGAAAGACATGAGGACAAATCTTACTTTGGGAAGTCAGTCAGCCAGCTTGCCAGGTGTGTAACCTCAGACAAGCTGTTCACCTTTTTGGCGTAAGTCTTTCTCATCGGTTCAATAGGAATATTATTACCTACCTCCTGGGGGATGTTGCGAAGTGAGATGAGATAAGATATAATACATTGATCTTAAAAATAAGACTGTCAGTTATTTTACCAGCAAAAAATGGGTTTATTCAAGAAGGGCAGAGAATTGTAATTCAGGACAGGAAAGCTATAATAAAACCACAGGCAAGTACAGAGAACAAAAAAGAAGCTGGTTCTTTTAAAGAGGAAAGGAGGACGTTGGGAGGACTGTTATAAACAAAAAGTCCACTGAAGTAAACCAGGAGTTGGAAATGTAGTGGCTTTTCATTGCCGGAATCCTTGACAGTCTCTCATCGGCAGGGCTGTTGCTGGGCAAGGAGAAAATCTCTTCTGCTGGGATAGTAAAAGTATAGGCTCTTCCGGGCCGGCTGATAAGATGTGGAACGGTATTAGAGCTCCCCCTTCTGGCCTCCCAACTCCATTTTAGTGAATATTAATTTCTACCTTTTTCTTTACTAATTTTCAGAAGTAATAAATAACAGCATCTAGAACAGTACTGATACACACTAGTTTCTCAATAGATTTCAGCTTCCTTCCTTTCTCTCCTACTCTAAGTCATGTAGTGTTAAGTTGACAAAACACAGAGATAAATAAGACACCATTCTTGGGACACCTGAGTGGCTCAGTTGGTTGAGCATCTGCCTTTGCTCAGGTCACAACCTGGGCTCCTGGGATCAAGCCACACATCAGGTTCCTTGCTCAGTAGGGAGCCTGCTTCTCCCTCTGTCTGCTGCTCCCCCTGCTTATGCACGCTCTCTCTCTCTCTTTCTGACAAATAAACAAAATCTTAGGGGAAAAAAAGAGACTCTTCTTGCCTTAAAGAACATAGAGTAGTTGGGAAGGCAAACATGAAGAATAAAATGAAAAAGCAATATATTAATAATTCCAAGAGGAGCATGTGTAAGATACACAGGAACACAGAGCTGGAAGCTCCTTCCCTTGTCTAGATAGTGGGGAAGCGGTGACCAGAAGAGACGTCTTGGAGGATGTGATAAATGAAAGAAGTCTTGAAAGAAAAGTAGGAATTTACCAGACAATGTCTCCATTCTATGGAGAGGGAACAGCATGTGCAAAGGCATAGAGTATGGAGCATTTAGAAAACCATAAGCTGTTCAGTAAGGTAGAAAAGAAAACAACATAGGATTCTGGAGTATAATTGTATAACCCATCACAACTCTGCTGCTTCCCCAGAAAATATACTGTTAAAGCAGCAAAATCCTGAAAATTCTCACTAACACCAAATCTGAAGAGAAGAAAACTGAATGGGCATCTTTATCTTCCCCCTTTTCTAACCAAGGAACAGTGAAAACAGTTGAAGGGGGGGAAAGGGGAAAGGAAATGGACAAAGTTGAAACATAGCCAACTCTGTTTGATCAAAGTAAAGGCTCCAGGACTACATAGTAAATTAGACAAATAATATGAAGACTACAGTTCCCCTTCCAGGTGAGACACTACCCTTAATTCAGGATACTTAACAAAATCTCAGGAGACAGAGCCCAAAACAGTGCACACAGCTCCACAGAGCTTCCTCTTTTCTCTACCCATTTCTCTTCCTCCTTTTCTGATACCCAAGGAGCTAGAATATTAATACCTAGCCCTTCAATTGTAGTTCTGAGGGAAAAAATAAAATAATCTCAGATATGGTGGATGAGTACCAATCACCCACACTGTGTTGGGACAATTATGAAAAGAGCAAATGAAAAGACCTGAAAATCACACATCAGAGTAAAACAGAAAGAAGCTGACCGGCAATATGCAATAATGCAGCAAGAAAAAGAAAAGAATAACAAGAAACAAACAAAATACTGTTTAAAAGACAAAAATAAAAACAAAACAAAACAAAACCTCAACCTAGGAAATAATATAAACCAAGGAACAAAGAGAAATTCTTCACAACTGATTCACAGTATAGAACAACATAAGCTCATAAATTCAACAAAATAAGAACTCAATCAGATTATAAACAACAGAAAGATGAAAATGAAGATCGCAGCCATAAGACAAACTGAATACTCATACAGTATCAGTACAGACCTAATAAATTTAAAAAATTATAAGGGACAGAACAGACACAAATGAAAATTGAATTACTGGCTTAAGATAATTACAAGTAAACACTACAGGAAAGGGAAGAAAATATGGCACAGAAAAGCTAATAGATATGGAAGATAAAGATGATTCAACATATCAGTATTTGTTGTCCTGTGACCTAACGAATGGAACAGGAAATGTTTTCAGGGATACAAGAAAATTTTCCTGATATGAAAAAAAATCCACAGATTAAAAGATATAAAATGCTCACTATCAAGCAATATTCTAAACAAGCTATTGAGCATCAAGGTTAAGGATGGGATTCTTTAGGCAGAGGACATCAAGTGGCCTTAGATTTCTCTACAGTAACATTCAATGCCAGAAGACAATGAAACAAAATCTACAAGATTCTCAAGAAAATAAGTTATTACCTCAAAATACTATATACATCCAAAATATATTCTGATTTAAAGGCAAAAGGCAGACATCCTCAAACATTAAAGAACACAGAAAATGTAGCATTTCTCAGCCCTTTCTGAAAAAACTTACAACAAAATCTCATCAGATAAGAAACTGAACCAAAATGGCATGATAAAAGGACTAAATAGTGAGCAATCATTCCATTTAAATATAAAATGAATGCAAAAAAAAATACACATATATGTGTATATATACAGAATGAATGCTATATCACTATGCAAAATAGGTCCAAAGTATCCCATTGTTATTAAGGTATTTATCTGTATATAAACACGGAAAAGATGTCTGATATGATGTTCACCTAATATTAATGGTTATCATTAAATATTGATATTTAAATACTGATATTTAATGTGGTGGTGGCATTTGGGATGATTTTCTAATTTTATTTATTTTTCTACACTGTTTAAATTTATTTATAATGGACATGTATCTTTTTCACAGTAACAACAAATTGTCATTAAAAAGTAAAAATAGGGGCACCTGGTGGTTCAGTTAGTTAAGTGCCTGCCTTCCGCTCAGGTCATGATCTCAGGGTCCTAAGATCAAGCCCTGAGTCAGGCTCCCTGCTCAGTGGGGAGTCTGCTTTTCCCTCTCCCTCTGCGCCTCTCCCCACTCATCCTCTTTCTCTCAAATAAATAAAAAACCTTTTTTAAAAAGTGAAAATAAAAATGTTGATATACAAACAATGGTTAATTCTGGGTGAAATACATAGAATTGTTATTTTCTTCTTTGTACTCATATATTTTTTAGTTTCTAAAAATTAAAGCAAATTAAGAAAAAGAAAAAAGTACATCAAAATATTAAATAGTAACTACCTTTGGGTAATGGAATTTTATATAATTTTAAAAACTTAAATATGTACTTTTCTAAATGGTCTAGGTTAGTACAATGAAAATGTATTACTGTGACATGGACATTTTCTTCCCTCCAAAAAAATGTTCTAGTTTTAAAAAGGTAGAGAGAAAGGACTTTTCAGATGGTATAATATTATAAACAAAACAGGGGCACCCGGGTGGTACAGTCAGTTAAGCATCTGACTCTTAGTTTCAGTTCAGGTCATGATTTCATGTTCATGAGATCGAGCCCCACCTCCAGCTCCACACTCAGCACTGAGTCAGCTTAAAGACTCTCTCCCTCTCCCTCTGCCCTGACCTCCTCCCCAGCACATGCACACACACACACTCTCTGTGTCTCTCAAATAAATAAATAAATCTTTTAAAAAGAGAGAGAAAAAGACAAAGAGAATGGGGAGAAAAAGCATGAGGTATGTTCTATAGATAGAGAGCTTAGCAAGAGTGGAGAGCTGAGTCTGGTGACTAGTTAAGGATTCAGGTGGAGAGATGGGCTGAGGTCAGACAGTGAGGGTATGAATGACAGACAGGCTAAGGAACTGATATGTTGGTGAGAAAAACAACCAAGAATGATGGGAGAAAGGAGTCCTTGAAAATCCTGATCTTTCTCATACTGGAATGTCTCAGATACTGCATGCATACAATGTTTTATTTCATATCTTTAACTTCCCCACTATCTGGAAAGACCTACAAGAGTAAAAGTTACCAAATAATTGAGAGGACTAGACATTGAAGAAAAATTGTGTTTAAAAGAATCCACAGCTTATGCCTATTGTTTAAAGATAGGGAAGGAGACAAACGAGTAAAATTGAATGTCTATTTCCAAGTATCACCACAATTACCTTTTAATTTGTCTTTAATGGTTTCTGATAAACGTTTTGTGAGCTGAGGCATTTCTTCTGGGGAGTACTCAGCATTTGCTAGCTCCTCCTTAAGAACAGCATGGATACATTCTTTAACCACAGAAGGTCTGAACCTAAATGAAACAGTGTAAAACATCTAATTGGTAACTCCAAAATTTCAATTTACTTTCACAGCTCAACTGCCCACAGCTTTTTGTCATTACAACAATTTAATTCCTCTTTTTCATACTTTTTATTATCAAAGTGACATACACAACTTAAGAAAACAAGTCATATTCTTGATGTATATCTACAGACTGGACCTTTCCCCTCAACTTCAGACCACATATTCCAACACATATTCCATCTGGATGTCTAATGGACAACTCAAAAGTTCATACATCCAACAGTGAGCTTCTGACCATCTCCTCTCTTCAAAATTCTATCGGTCCATGGAACCTCCATCCTTCCAGTTGCTCAGGCCAAGAACCTTGAAGTCAGGCTTCTTGACTTTCTCTCTCACAGACCACATCCTGGTTCATAAGCAAATTTTATCAGTTTTACCTTCAGAATAATCTAAAATTCAATCACTCTCTCCACCGCACTGCCACCAGTTTGCTCCAAGCTACCTCCTGCCTGGGTTTACACCAGCTTCACACAAGTCTCTGTCTCTGCCTTTGCCCCCATATCCTGTGGAACATAGCAACTAGACTGGTCCTGTTAAAATATATGCTGGATAATGGCACTTCTCTGTTCAAAATATCCCAAATGTTTGGGGTGCTTGGGGGGCTCTGTCAGTTAAGCATCTGCCTTCAGCTCAGGTCATGATCACAGGGTCCTGGGATCAAGCCCCCAGCTCAGCAGGGAATCTGCTTCTCCCTCTCCCTCTGCCCCTTCCCCCTGCTCATGCTTGTTGTCTCTCTCTCTCAAATAAATAAAATCTTAAAAAAAAAAAAAATCCCAAATGCTTCTCACCTCACTCAGAGTAAAAGCAACATCCTAACTGTCACTTGCGCAGCCCCATATGACCTACCCTATCAAACTCTCTGATTTCATTTTCTACTACATTCCTGCCAGTTCTCTCCACTCTGGTCACACTGGTCTTCCCTATGTTCTTTGACCACACCAGGCATGACCACCTTAGTGCTTTTGAACCTGCTGTTAACCTCTGCCTGAAGTTCAAATCTCATTCTATGGGCATTGCTACCTCCCTCACTTCTTTCAAGTCTTTATTCAAAAGTCACTTTCCCTAGCCACCTTCTCTAAAACTTCAAATTGCCCTCCTACCACATCACTTTATATCTCACCTCCTGGTACTCATTACTATCTCTATGGGAGATATATACTACATGTATATATACATATGTGTGTGTGTGTGTGTATACTATATAGTTATATATATACACTATATACTATATAGTTCACTTATGTATTTATCTTGTTTGTTGTCCTTCTACCCAGCTAGAACATAAGCTCTATGAGGGCAGGGATTTCTCACTGCTTTGTTCACTGTCATCTTTCCACTTCTTAAAAGAGCACCCAGGACATAGTAGACAATAAATACTTTTGGAAGGAATGGATTATTGAATAAATGAAGACAGAGGAAAAAACCTCCCCTAATTTCACCACCCTGAAATATGTTCACATTTTAGTTGTATTTATCATATATTAAAACATTAGTTTTATTTTCTGGGCTATATATTCTATTAGCTGATTTGTCTATTATGTGCCAAGTGACCAGAATGTTTTAGGTTTTGAACTTATAATGCAGTATAATATTTGGTAGCCCTAGTGGTCCCTTATTACTTTTTGGGGTGGGGTTCCTTTTTTTAATTTAAATTCTGAAGCAACCCTTATCACTTTTTAACAGTATTTTCTTTGCTCTCTTGCCTGGTTATTCTCACAGATGAACTTTAGAATCATTGACAGATTTCCAGGATTGGATCTGTTCTAAAAAGGGTTTTCCTATTACAAATATACTATATTTGGCTCTTCGCCTTAAGCCTTTCTCATTTTCAGTGAAATGTCAAAAGTTTTCTTCAGGGACGCGTGGGTGGCTCAGTTGGTTAGGCGGCTGCCTTCGGCTCAGGTCGTGATCCCAGGGTCCTGGGATCTAGTCCCGCGTCGGGCTCCTTGCTCCGCAGGGAGCCTGCTTCTCCCTCTACCACTCTGTCTGCCTGTGCTCTCTCTCTCTCTCTCTCTCTCTCTCTCTGGCAAATAAATAAATAAATAAATCTTTTAAAAAAAAAGTTTTCTTCAAACAAATCACAAATAATCTTAGAGGATTATTCCTACATAATATATGTTAATTTTGTTCTGCTTTTGTTCTGTTTTGCAACAGAAATGCAGACAAATGGTGTTCTGTGCATTTAGAAACTTTTACCAAGATAACTGAACATACCTTTTTTGATGTCCACTCCACCCACCAGAAAACTGCATGAAATGTATCACATTATAACCAAAGTTCCTGGCTTCCAGTATTTGCCAAGCATTTGATTCAGCAATCTGGTTCCAAGCAACAGAGGGGCTTTTTTTTAAATTATTTAATTTTTTTTTAATCTTGTGAAAATGAAGTGAGTGATGGACCCTATAGCCCTAGCGGACTGTCCTCTGCACTAGACTGTGTAATTTTGGGACGGCATCTCGGTGGTGGGCCAAGAACATCCGGATGATACCCAGGTAAGACTTTGAATGCATACAGGTCCCACTCCCTGCAGAGGAGTAAGCGTATTCTGGCACCCATAGCACACCTTAACCCTGGAAAATGGCTGAATGGAATTCGATGCAAGGCGTTTCTTTCCTGCTCATCTATTCCACCCCTCCTTTCCTCTGCCCACATCCCGGGTCTCCTAGAGCCAACCATTCCCACTGCGCTAGCCTCAGGTGCTCCCGAAGCCCTAACGCTGCAACTGTAGGTCTGGTCCACAGCTGCCCAGAGCAGCTGGAGACTCAAGAAAGATAGCATCCCACCCTCTCGGCTTGCCCCTTCCTCTCTAGTCCCGGCCCGCCTCCTCCCCGGCTCGCCCCTAGGTTTCCAGACCACCCCACACTCCTTCCCTCCCTGCTGGACTCGATCCCAATACCTTCCTCTGTACCAAACCCACTCCGCCCCTCCCCAGTCCCTCCTCCGCCACCTCCATCCCCCTCCCCAGCCACCTCCTTCTCCCTCCCCAGCCACCTCCTTCTCCCGTCCCGCCCTGCGTCCCCAGCCTGCCCCACCTCCAGCCCCGCTCCTCCTTCTCCAGTCCCGCCCCGCCCACCCCGCGGATCCCCGCGCGCTTTCCCCACGCGCAGGCTGCCAGGCGGCCTCTGTCGACCTGACCCAGCAGCTCGTAGGACACCCCTAACCACAGCTCGTCCGTTACCCGCCTTTGCTGGAAAATGGGCCGCAGAATATAGGTATTCTCGGACTCCCCTGCGTTCTTCTCAGTCTCAGGCAACCCGTCGGCTGTGCCCGTAGTGAAGGACGCAGGGGTGGACGAAGTCATGGCTAGGGCTTCTTGGCTTAGTGTATCGCGATGAAGGCCTGGCGGATTGCGGTAGGGAGCTGGGAAACCGTCGCCAGGGCAACGGGGCCTCCATGAGCCCTGATGTGACGCGCCTGCGCGCTCCCAGCAGAGCGGCCCTCCCCCACGCCTGCGCACTGGCTGCTGGGTGGAGAGCACCTAAGGCTAGGGAAAGCACGTAAGGCTGATGCAGCCCTATGGGGAGTTGAAAGCGCTTTAATGCGCGTCAGGTTTTATTAACCGCGCAGCAATTTCAAGACATTGACGCGGAATCTCAGGCCCATAGAGGTCCAAGCATATGAGGCTATTAAGCGGCAGGGCCCTAACTCTAAAGGGTCTTCGCGCTGTAGCCTGTGGGCAAGTGCTGCCTTCATTTCTTTAGGCATGACTTTTGAACGGATATGTATATATTTTTAAAAGATTTTATTTCTTTGACAGAGAGAGATAGTGAGAGAGGGAACACAAACAGGGGGAGCAGGAGAGGGAGAAGCAGGCTTCCGGCTGAGCAGGGAGCTCCACGCGGTATTGATCCCAGGACCCTAGGATCATGTCCTGAGCCGAAGGCAGATGCCCAACAACTGAGGCACCCAGATTTTTAAACGATCGAAAAAAATCAAAAGATTATTTCATGACACGTGAAACCTACACGTGAAATTAAAATTTCAGTATCCCCGAAGTTCTTTTGTAGCAAAGCTATGCTCACTTGCCTGTTGTGTGGCCACTTTTGCGCTGTTACTGGTAGACTTCAGCAACTGCAACAGAAACCATATGGCCCTTAAGGTCTAAACTTTTATCCGACCCTTTACATTAAAAAATTAGCAGTGCCCTGCCCTAGTCCAGAACTGCCAAGCACAGTTCCCCCAGCCTCACCTACACCCTTGGATCCAGAGCAAAATTCAGAAATGTGCAGATTTCACGTGTATTCCTCACTTATGAGCACCAGTTTCTGGTCCTGTTTTAGAAAACCATATTATCCTGGCCTCTGTCAGCTTCAAAGACTAGGAAAAGGAGTGGCTGAGTGGCCAAGTCAGTTAAGCCTGTGCCTTCAGTTCAAGTCATGATTCCAGGGTTATGGGATGGAGTCCCATACCAGGCTCCCTGCTCAGCAGGGAAGTCTGCTTCTCCTTCTCCCTCTTCCCCCGACTCCCCTCTCCTGCACTCTCTCTCCCTATCTTGCTCACTCACACATGGACTCTCTCAAATAAAAAAACGGGATCTTAAAAAAAAGAAGAAAAGAAAAGAAAAGAAATTCCCCCAACATCTATCCAGGTTTCCTATTGGTTGGGTTAACAAATTGCAAAACTTCCTCCTCTAAGATGGAAAGGGAGTAGTTTCTATAAACATATACCTGTGCAAATTCCAGTAAAGACTCACCAATTTTACGATTCCAGGTTTTGGCTTACAACATGTTTTCTTGGTGGTATAGCCTAGATTGGTCTTCCTGAGTCCCATAAACTCATAGGAACTTCACCTTCCCAGTCTGCCCTTCACAGTGTCCCCAGAATGGCTTTCCTTTGTGACTGCTCTGCTTGAAATCTTTCAATGGGGGCGCCTGGGTGGCTCAGTGGGTTAAGCTGCTGCCTTCAGCTCAGGTCATGATCTCAGGGTCCTGGGATCGAGTCCCGCATCGGGCTCTCTGCTCAGCAAGAAGCCTGCTTCCCTCTCTCTCTCTCTCTCTGCCTGCCTCTCCGTCTACTTGTGATCTCTCTCTGTCAAATAAATAAATAAAATCTTTAAAAAAAAAAAAGAAATCTTTCAATGGTTCCTTATGACCATCTCCCCAGCATTTACTGCAAATAAAACCTTTCATGATCTGGCTAGGTTGCTGAACCCTCCTCCTGGCTCTGGCCAGCAGAATGGGGTCTTTGCAAGGGCCATGGGGCTAAGTGTGCACCCACATCAGCTCAGTGCTGCTTCAACCATGCCCTCTTTACCTTCCCCTTGGTTCAGCAGCACCAGCCCCATCTTTGGCTGCGATCATGTATCCACAAACTAGCCTGGCACAGAAATCCAATGTCTCCTAGGGGAAGATAGCGTTTTACTCCTTGCTGTTTCACCAGCCTTAAGAAATCATACTCGTAATATGCAGATTTTCTCTCCCCTTTCATGGTTTCTTCAGTTAGATTTCTCTCGTTCTATCTACTACAGTCCAACTAAAACCACAGAAGATCAGATGTGTAATTTAATTCAATAAAAATTTTATTATTCCATCCATGCTAGGGGCTAGCGATACAAAAGTGAATAAAACCCAGGCCTTGCCCTAAAAAGTGAACAGATTGGGCTGGGGAGCAATGGGCTAAATAGAGTGCCAGCTGCTATAACAGAAAGCTGAAGGACAACCTATTCCCAAGATGGGCTTACTTTTCTTTTTTTAAAGATTGTATTTATTTGAGAGAAAGAGAACAAGAGAGAGCATGATGGGGGGACAGTCATAGGGAGTGGGACTCATCCTGGGACTGGATCCTGGGACTGGATCCTGGGACTGAATCCTGGGACTTCAGGATCATAACCTGAGCCGAAAGCAGTTGCTAAACCAACTGAGCCACCCAGGCGCCCCAAGGGCATATTTTTCTCCAGCAGGAAATAAGCAAGGCAACGTCCTCCTCATTCCATGATGATATTCCAGAAGGCATATACAAGGTAACGGACAGACGACTTTTTTTCTTAACAAAATGTTAACAGTGTCCTGATGAACAGATTAACTTAAGCCCCTCTGCCCTAAACCTGGTTGGAAGCCAAGCCAAGACCTCAATGTGGCTTTCTTTTTTTTTTTTTTTTTTAATTTTATTTATTTATTTGACAGACAGAGATCACAAGTAGGCAGAGAGACAGGCAGAGAGAGAGGAAGGGAAGCAGGCTCCTGGCCAAGCAGAGAGCCCCATGCGGGGCTCGATCCCAGGAACCTGGGATCATGACCTGAGCTGAAGGCAGAGGCTTTAACCCACTGAGCCACCCAGGCACCCCTCAATGTGCCTTTCATTTGAAGAGAAAAAAAAACAGGGTGAAAGCCCATTCTGACTGTGAGGTAGTCCTGGGATGAAGGCAGAAGGAAGGGGATGCAGGTGTCCTCTGGAATCCCACAGAGGGCAGTGAACAGGCAGGTGTGGAGGACTATGGAGCCCATAGTGGAATGAACACAGAACTCCCTCTGCATTCCCCTCCCCATCCCTGGTTTCCTCTCCTTTCCCCTTCCCTCCTCCCCCCGGTAACAGAGGAATTCCTGTATTCTGGAGGCATCTGGTGCTTCAGCTCCTCCCTGACCTGGGGACCATGGAGGGGATACAACAGCAACTGGGCCCACGCTTTCCCTTCCTGGCTTTGTCTCCTCTGTGGCTCCAGAGCCCATGGTTCCCTAACTCATTCCCTGGACCTGTCCACTACCTCTTCTCTTGCCAGTGCCCATCTTCCTATTTCTTCCCAGGCTGCCTGCTTCATCCTGTTCCCTGCCCATCAGAATTTCCTGGCAGATCTCCTTCACCCCACTCCTGACTCTACTCACCATTCAGCACTAGCTCCTGACCAAGATCTTGAAGTGCAACAAAGAGAGGTGCTCTGTTCTCCACGTCCCATATGAGAAACCACTGTGGCACCACAGTTCTCCATCCCATGTGTCCCCTCCATGCCTCAGAGTGTGCTGTTTCCTCTGCTGGGGAATCCCTTCCTCCCCTCTTCGCTGGGCGGTTTCAAGAACAAGCTCAGACGCAAGGGGTGCCTTCCTTGATCTCTCACAGACCCTCTTCTTGGAGTTTCGCTCTTCCTTTGAACTCTCTCTGTGTCCTGTTGACCTCTAACATGGCCCTTACCATAGGATATTTAAATTGTTTATAGATGTGTTTGTTCCTCTACCCTGATCATGAGCTCTTCAAGGACAAGGCAGGGTCCTAGGTCAAGGACTATGCCTCAGTCATCTTTAGATCCACTGTGCACACAACAGTATACAGTGGAAACTCCAGTGTACAGCACTTACTGAACCGCACCGAACACTGAGAAGAAAATATTGGTGAATTAATCAGCTTAGGCTGCCATAACAAAATAGTACTGATTGAATGGGCTGAGACCACATGCATTTATTTTTCTAATAAATCAGACTTGAAGTTCCAACATGAAGATACCAATAAGGCTGGCTTCTATTGAGGGCCCTCTCCTTGGCTTGCAGGTGGCCACCTTCTGGTTGTGTCCTCACAGGGCCTCTTCTACTGTGCTTGTGTGTAAAGAGAGATCTGGTATCTCATCCCCTTCTTGTAAGGATTAGGGTCCTACCTTTATGACCTCATTTAACCTTAATTACCTTCTTAAAGGTTCTATCTACAAATATAGTCACATTGGGGCTTAGGGCTTCCACCTATGAGATTTGAGGACACACAATTCCATCCATAACAACTGGTGAACTTGAATTTAAAAGATAAGAGCTCAGGTGCTGACTTTACCCAAACCCAGGTGAGTGCTTTTAGGCAGCAAGTCCCTTATGCTCTAGGAACCTCAACTTCCATATCTGTGACATGTGGCCAGTTTTATGGAGTTGTTAAGAGGCTGAAATGAGACCACAGCTGGAGAACATTTGATGAACTGTAAATTCCTGCACACTAATAATGACCTAATTATTCCTTCTACTGATATATCATCTTGCAGTTTACAATGTGATTTAAAATGCATATATCAGGGCGCCTGGGTGGCTCAGTGGGTTAAGCCGCTGCCTTCGGCTCGGGTCATGGTTTCAGGGTCCTGGGATCTAGTCCCACATCGGGCTCTCTGCTCAGCAGGGATCCTGCTTCCCTCTCTCTCTCTCTGCCTGCCTCTCTGTCTACTTGTGATCTCTCTCTGTCAAATAAATAAATAAAAATCTTTAAAAAAATAAAAAAAAATGCATATATCACTCAACATGCATGCAAGGAATCATTGCCATTATTACCACTACAGGAATACCCAAAAGGAAAGTTTGTTTATAATCCATTCTGCAGAAGAGATTCAAGGTCTGTTCTGAGGAAAACTCTCATGCGTGAAAGGACATTACCTATCACTTGTCACAGAGGCTGCAGAAAAGACCCAGGAAGCTGTTGAAAAAATGAATGACCACCAAGAGAATCTGGAGGAGGCTGATGCATAGAAGCATGGAGAAGAAGGACACGTGCCAAATGACAGCTTTAGAAGGCTCCAGGCACACAGAGTTCCAGAGGGAGTCGTCATACAAATAATTCCTATCCAAAAAAAAAGGAGACCAGGGGTTGAGGAATAAGTAAGAAAAGCCAAGTAAGCAACTCAATAGAAACCTGGCCCCTTTTCCCCCCAGCCACGGTCCTAGGCCTAGATTTCTGAGGGTGACATTTGCTGTGTTGGCAAAATGCTGAGCATCAGAGATGGGAGATGCTAGAACGTGTGGCCACGAGGAGTTTGTAGTCCGTCTGTGTGTCTCTCTGAAAAGATTGAAAACTCAAGTCTCCGTCCATTTACCTGTTATGCAAGTCTTGGAATGGGTAACCATATTTCCAATCTTGTGTCTGATTGAAGGATGAGGCATCAAACATGCAAAATGGACCATCTTTCAGGGCTACTCCAGAAGTGATAAAGCAAATCAAGGCTCCAAGAATAGCCAGGCTACCGGACAGCAGAGCAATGAACATCTGTAGATGGAGGGAAGAAGCCATGAGGTGAGATGGGGTCATGACCAGGTGATGGGGTGATCTGGACAAGCCTAACTTCTCCAGCACTCAGGCTTTCCCTGTCATATCATGTGGGGATAATGCCCCTGGCAGCTTCTTTAAAGGACACCCAAGGCAGGGCGGCTGATGAGGGGCCGGTGGGCAGAGCCAGGAAGTGGTGGGAAAGAAAGCACTGAGAAGGCGGGAAGCAGTGGCACTTGGACCTGAGTCTCCCTGACCCAGGGAAGCTCCCTCCAGAGCTTCTCAACAGGTTGGCTTCAAAAAGTTTTACACTCAGGGGCCACTGGGTGGCTCAGTTGGTTACTGACTCTTGATTTCAGCTCAGGTCATGGTCTCAGTGTCGTGAGATGGAGCCCCATGTCAGGCTCCACACTGGGCATGGAGTCTGCTTAATATTCTCCCTTTCCCTCCACCCTCACCCCCACCAACGCATGCTCGAGTGCATGCTCTCTTTCTCTCTCTCTCTCAAATAAATAAACTTTAAAAAAAAGTTTTACATAGCCTCTGGGTAGAAGGGTTAGATGGTCATTGCATGCCCATTTCTTTTTTACTATTTAAAAAAAATTTTTTTTTAAGATTTTATTTATTTGAGAGAGCACAAGCAGAGAGAGCACCAGGCACAGGGAGAGGGAGAAGTAGGCTCCCCGCTGAGCAAGAAGCAGGATTCGGGAGTCGATCCCAGGAGCCTGGGATCATGACCTGAGCAGAAGGCAGACACTTAACTGACTGAGCTACCCAGGTGCCCTGCATGCCTATTTCTGACTCTTTTAAGGGAAAGCTGTATTCTTTTTTTTTTTTTTTTTTTTAAAGATTTTATTTATTTATTTGACAGAGAGATCACAAGCAGGCAGAGAGGCAGGCAGAGAGAGGAGGAAGCAGGCTCCCTGCTGAGCAGAGAGCCCGATGCAGGGCTCGATCCCGGGACTCTGAGATCATGACCCGAGCCGAAGGCAGCGGCTTAACCCACTGAGCCACCCAGGCGCCCCGGGAAAGCTGTATTCTTAACAGTTCCCAGCAACTAATGCCAATTCCACTCTTTCTTACATCAAGCATGAAGGAAACAAGGGAAGAAAGAGGGAAGGAGGTAGGAAAGAAGGGAGGGAGGGGGACAGGGACAGAGAGGAACTTCAGTCAGCTTGGAACAGACCCCTGTTCTCTCACTGCACTTAGTCTGTGCACTTCCCTCCCTGAAGATAACAATGAGTTCACTTCCTAGGCAGGAGTCCAGCTTGGTTTTAAATTGGCTTCTTTCTCAGACTACTAGGTTGTTTTCTCCCTTCAAAAGAATGCGTATTTTAAAAATTTAAATAAAACATATGCACAGTTTTTATATAGAATCATGGAGGCCTCTTCCCACAATGTCAAGCTGGTTTAGAGCTTGGGAGGGCCAACGAAATGCTCAAGATGGGGTCCTGGCCCCGGCAGCATCACATCACCTGAAAACTTGCTAGAAATGCACAACTTCCCACTTCACCCCACCTTCTGAACCAGAAAAGTTGGGGCTGGAGCACCTGGGTGGCTCAATCAGTTAAGCATCCAACTCTCACTTTCAGCTCAGGTCATCATCTCAGGGCTGTAAGATCCAGCCCTGCATGAGGCTCTGCACTGGGTGTGGAGCCTGCTTGGGAGTCTCTCTCTCCCTGTCTCTCTGCTACTTCCCCACCTTTAAAAATAAATAAATAAATAAATAAATAAATATAGTCAACTCTCCTGTCTCTCCAACCTTCTCCTTTCCTCAGACAATATAGCTTTAAAAAGAAAGAAAGAGAGAGAGAGAGGGAAGGAAGGGAGGGAGGAAGGGAGGAAAGAAGGAAGGAAGGAAAATAAATAAATCTGGGGCGTGGGGCGAACAATCTGTTTTAACAAACCCTACAGGGATTCTGATACACACACAAGTCTGAGAACCACTCACTCACCGAGGGGAAAACCAGAGGAGACTGAGAGAAGATACTGAATGAAGTGCATGGGTATTTATATTTAATTCTTTAATATATAATTCTGAATCAGTGGGGTTCCCAATATGTGGGATGCAGATACCAAAGTAGGCGGTAGAGTTACTGTAAGGAGGCCACAAATTCATATGTCTGAGACTGAATAAGTAACATATCTTATACTTACATGTACCGAAATTTTTCAAGTATATATAAATGTTGCTGTAACTGATAAGTGCAAATTTATTCTGGGCCCAAGTTTAATTTTCTGTAAAATGGAGGGCTTAGGCTAGAATCTAGTCATTAAATGATTTCTGGAAACCTTCTAATTCTAAGAAAAATTAAACAAAATAACCAGGAAATTTCCTTCCTTCCTTCCTTCCTTCCTTCCTTCCTTCCTTCCTTCCTTCCTTTCTTTTCTATCTTTCTCCTTTTTTTCTTTCTTCTCTCTCTCCCTCTCTTTCTTTCTTTCTAGTAGACTCCACACCCAACATGGGGCTTGAACTCACGACCCAGAGATTGAGTGCATGCTCTACCCACTGAGCCAGCCAGGTGCCCCAGGAAATTTTTTATCAGTGACACATGACTATAGAACACTTAATTCATGTCCATTTTGTTCAATAGGCTAAAAATCATAGCTAATAGACATGTTTGGCTCAATAAACACTCCCTTAACTTGAGACTGTTCATGCCCATTTTATAGATGAAGATCCGAGGCTCAGAAAGATTAAGGAACTTGCCCAATGGCTTAGGTTTACTAAGGAGTACAGTCAGGACCTGACTTCAAGCCCCAAAACTGAAGTTGCCTCTTTACCACTCTGCCTGTAGAGTAATGGAGTGTGGGAACATTCTAGGTATTAGAAGAGTAGAACCTGGTGCTTACACTTCGGCAGGGCCCACTCTTACTGAAGCAGCCATATCTCCAGCCCATGAAGGAGATGAGGGTAGCTGCAGTGAGTACCTAGGAGAGGAGAGAAGAATGGTAAGAAGAGATTGGGTTGATTACTATTGAAATAGATCATTTGGGCACCTCACATGGTTTTGATAATCCTATCTTTCCCAGGGGGTTTGGCTTTGACTGTCAGGACCCAGTTGGATTACTAGCCTGATCTGACTCTCTGGATGGCAATATTTATACCCAGCCGTCTAGTCCCAAGCCAAAGTTCAGCAACAAGTCTTCCTAGAGTCTCCTATTCCTTGGAATTGCTATAGACCCAAGACAAGCTTGCTAGATCAAGCATTTTTTTTTTTTTTAAGATTTTATCTTTAAGGGGCACCTGGGAGGCTCAGTTGGTTAAGCAGCTGCCTTGGGCTCAGGTCATGATTCCAGGGTCCTGGGATTGAGTCCCACATCAGGCTCCCTGTTCAGTGGGGAATCTGCTTCTCCCTCTCCCTCTGCCTGCTGCTCTGCTTACTTGTGCTCTCTCTCTCTCTGTCAAATAAATAAATAAAATCTTTTTAAAAAAGATTTTATCTTTAAGTAATCTCTATGCCCAATGTGGGGTTCAAACTCACAACCCTGAGATCAAGAGTCACATGCTCTACCCACTGAGTCAGGCAGGCACCCTCAAGACCAAGCATTCTTGCAAACAAAACAAAACACTGCTGTCCTGCCACCTCCCTGCTCCACCCTGAGGGGTATTTGGGGAGTTCACACCCAAGAAACTCCAAACACTTACCATGAGTCCTCCTCCCCAGAGCCCAGAGCCCAGCATGGCATGCCTGCCAATAAGGCCCCTCAACAAGTAGGTCACATCCCAGTTAGGGAAGAGGAGCACCAAGTTGGCTCCAGCAGCAAACAGGGCAGTAGTCCCGAGGCTCAGCCCCAGGATGCGGGAGCAGGTCCGTGAGCATGCCATCGCATCAGGAGAGGACAGCATCCTGGAACCAATGGATGGAGAATCATGGTAGCTCTGTTGCTGGAAGCATCAGGAAGGGGAACATGGATAGCAAGGGTAGGGTAGGGGGAACAGACCACAGATACTGTCACCTCCCTGGGTCAGATCAAGAAAAGCCAAAGAACTTGCTTAAAAATTTTGCCTTTTATAAACAGTCTCTAATGGATAGAATTCAATTGCCCTATTTTCTGCCAACCCCCATTCATCCCATCATATTTTGCTTGTACCTCTATACAGCCAGTGATTATTTCTATCTGGGACAGGAAAAAATGTTTAAAGGTGTCATCCTCTCTCTTTAAAAGGTGTCATTTTGGGGGGCACCTGGGTGGCTCAGTGGGTTAAAGCCTCTGCCTTCAGCTCAGGTCATGATCTCAGGGTCCTGGGATTGAGTTCCACATCGGGCTCTCTGCTCCGCAGGGAGCCTGCTTCCCCCTCTCCGCCTGACTCTCTACCTACTTGTGATCTCTCTCCCTCTCAAATAAATAAAGCCTTTAAAAAAAAATAAGAAAAAAGAAAGAAAAAAGAAAGAAACAAAAGCCATACAGAGAGGAAAGAAAGAAGTAAGGTAACATGATTATGTATGTAGAAAATCCAAAGGAATATATCAAAAAGTTACTAGAAGTAGTAAGTGAGTTTAGCAAGTTACAGAATAAAATATCTATATACAAAGATTCTATTGTATTTCTATTTTATAAGCAATGATAAATTGCAAAATTAAAAAAAAAAACACAATATTTAGGGCCACCGGGGTGCTAGTTGGTTAAGCATCTGCCTTTGGCTTTGGTCATGATCCTGGAGTCCTGGGATTGGGCCCAGCATTCAGCTCCCCGCTCAGTGGGGAGTCTGCTTCTCCCTCTGCCCCCACCCCTCTTGTGCTCTCTTTCTCTTGCTCTCAAATAAATGAATTAAATCTTTAAAAAATAAAAATTAGAAAACAATGAATAGCATAAGAATAGAAAATACTCATGGATAGGGGCACCTGGGTGGCTCAATTGTGAAGCATCTGCCTTCGGCTCAGGTCATGATCCCAGGGTCCTGGGATCAAGCCCCTCATCGGGTTCCCTGCTCAGTGGGGAGCCTGCTCCTCCCTCTCCAGCTCCCGCATGGTTGTATTCCCTCTCTTGCTATCTCTCTCTGTCATAAATAAATAAAATCTTTTTAAAAAATTTATGGGTAAATTTAACAAAATATGTGCAAAACTTGTACAGTAAAAATAACAAAATATTGTTGAGAAGAATTAAAGACCTAAATAAATGGAGAGATATACCACATTCATGGATCAAAAGATTTACTATCATTAACATGTCAGTTCTCTCTAAATTGTTGTGTGGGTTCAATACAATCTCAGTCAAAATCCTAGCAGTGTTTTGTTGTAGAAATTAACAAACTGGATCTAAATTTATATGGAAATACAAAAGTCCTAGATTAGCCAAAATACTTTGGAAAAAGAACAAAGTTGGAAGATTTACACCATGTGATTTCAAGAAAATTATAAAATTACAGTAAAGTTATAAAAAGTAAAGTGCTAGCATATAAAAACATACAGACCACTAGAACAGCCTAGAGAATTCAGAAATAGACATACACATATGAGCAAATGATTTTTGAAAAAAATATTATTTCAATGAGAAAAGGATAGTCTCAAACAGTGCCAGAACAATCTATATGCAAAACAAAAAAATACATACCATGACTATTACTGCAAACCATATTCAATAATTAGTTAGAAATGAACCATAGGTCTAAACTTACTAAATTTCTAGAAGAAAGCAAAGGAAAAAGCATTGAGATCTTTTAATTTTTTTAAGATTTTATTTTTAAGTAATCCCTACATCTAACATGGGGCTCAAGCCCACAACCCTGAGATCAAGAGTCAGATGTTCCACAGACTGAGCTAACCAGGTGCTCCTGGGATCTTGAGTTAGGTGATTTATTAGATAAAAGACAAAAGGCACAACCCATAAAAAGATAAACTATTTCAAAATTAATTTGCTCTTCAAAAGACACCATGGCTCAGTCAGTTAAGCGTCCAACTCTTGATTTTGGCTCAGGTCATGATCTCAGGGTTGCAGGATCAAGCCCGACATCTGGCTCCAAGCGGGGCATGGAGCCTGCTTAAGATTCTCTCTCTGTCTCTCCCTCTCAAAAACAAACAAAACAAAACAAAAGAACACCATGAAGGAAACCACAGACTGAGAAAATACTCACAACATAAATTTTGCAAATAGGTATATGAATGTGAATGCATACACATCTGATAACAGACTTGTAACTGGACTATGTGAAGAACTCTTAAAACTCTTTTAGACAAACAGCTTGATTTTAAAAATGGGGAAAAAGATTTAAACAGATACCTCATTGCATCTCACAAAAGATATATGAATGATAGCTAAGAATATGAAAAGATCAGTATCTGGGTGGCTCGCTCAGTGGGTTAAAACCTCTGCCTTCGGCTCAGGTCATGATCCCAGGGTCCTGGGGACAAGTCCTGAATCAGGCTCTCTGCTCAGCAGGGAGCCTCCTTTCTCCTCTCTCTCTGCCTGCCTCCCTGCCTACTTGTAATTTCTCTCTGTGTGTGAAATAAATAAAATCTTTAAAAAAAATTGATAAGATGGGACGCCTGGGTGGCTCAGTTGGTTAAGCAGCTGCCTTCGGCTCAGGTCATGATCCCAGCGTCCTGGGATCGAGTCCCACATCGGGCTCCTTGCTCATCAGGGAGCCTGCTTCTCCCTCTGCCTGCCATTCTGTCTGCCTGTGCTTGCTCTCTCTCCCTCTCTCTCTCTGACAAATAAATAAATAAAATCTTAAAAAAAAATTAAAAAAATTGATAAGATGCTCAACATCATTAACATAAGGAACCGCAGATTAAAACTAAAATAAGATCCTACTACACATCCACCAGAATTGTTTCAATTCAAAAGTTGGCCTCTACCGAGCGTTGGTGAAGATGTGCCATAACCCAAACGCTCACAGGTAGCTAGTGAGAATACAAATGGTACAAGCCATCTTTGTAAATTAGCTTAGCAGTTTCTTATGAAGTTAAACATTTACTTACCAAATGATCAGGTATTTCCACTTCTAAATATTTATCCAAAAGAAATGAAAGCACACGTCCACACAAAGATTAGGACTTGAATACCCATAGCAGCTTTATTCGTAATAACTACAAATAAGAAATATGGAAACGACCTAAGTGTCCACCAGAAGATAAACGGATAAACAAAATATGGCATATACACACAATGGAATATTATTAATCCATAAAAAGGAAAGAAGTTGTGAAACACGCCACGACATGCATGAACCCTGAGAGCATGATGCTGAATAAATTAAGCCAGACACTGAAGGACAAATACTGTGTGATTTCACTTCTGTGAAATATCCAGAGTAGGTGCCTTCACAGATACAGAAAGTAGCTTAGTAGCCGCCAGGGTCCATGGATAGGGATATGGGGAGTTACTGTTTAATGGTTACAGAGTTTCTGTTTGGGGTGATGAAAGAATTTTGGGAATAGATAGTGGTGATGGTTACACAGCATTTTGAGTGCGTTTAATGCTACTACATTGGACACTTTAAAATGGTTAAAATAACAAATTTAATGATGTACACATTTTACCATGACAGAAAAATGAATTAAAAAAATAAGAAATAACTCAAACGTTCATCAATAAGTGAATAGATAAATTGTGGCCTATTCATGCGAATGAGTACCTCCAGGGGGCGCGCAAACAGACTGAGCTACTGGTAGACGAAACCACATGCATGAATCTGAAAAGCCTATGCTAAGTAAGCTACGGAAGCCAGAGAAAAACCACTACAGAAACAATCATACAGACTACTCACTGTACATTCTGTTTGTGTAAAGTTCTAGAAAAGGCAAGACTAGTGACAGGAAGCAGATCAGTGGCTGCCAGGGGCAGGGAATGGGAGAGGGGATTCATATAAGGACATTAGGAAACTTGCGGAGGTGATGGAAATGTGTTCTGTATCTAGATTCTGGTAGTGAATACACTACTGTGTGACAAAGCTCACCAAGCTGGGCTCTGAGAATTGGTCAGTTGTGTTTCAATTACATATCGATGAAATGGGTTGAAAAATGAAATGTCTCCTTTAGGTGAGTTGTAAAATGGCTCTGCCGCACATTTATCTATAGCCATTTCTCCTTTTTACATTTTTACTGATATGTGAACTTCTTGTCGTTTTACTTTTCTTTTTCTTTTTTTCTTTTTAAAAAAAATTATTGGGGCACCTGGGTGGCTCAGTGGGTTAAAGCCTCTGCCCTTAGCTCAGGTCATGATCGCAGGGTCCTGGAACCGAGCCCCACCACATCAGGCTCTCTGCTCAGCAGGGAGCCTGCTTCCCCCACTCCCCACCCCTCCGCCCCGCCTGCCTCTGCCTACTTGTGATCTCTCTCTCTCTCTGTCAAATAAATTAAAAAATATATATTTATTTATCTATTTATTTGTTTTCTTGTCGTTTTTCTAAATGTGAATTACAGTAGGACTGGTGATATTTGGGTAGACTTGTGTCAATACGGATCTGAAGAAAATCAGTGCCTTGACATCCCTGAGAAGTTGACTGTCGCTGCTTCAAGTCAGGTAAGTCTGTCTGACCTAAGACTCTTGACACTCCCCTCCCAACACATTACTTCATCCATAATCAGAAAATATGTGTGAACCAGACCCCCCATCTCTCTTTTACACATACATGTGTAATACAATATTTCAGAGTTTAAAGAATTAAACACAGTGTATATATTTGTACTTAGAAGCTGTATGGGAAAATTAACTCCCATGTAAATGCAACCAGCTTACAAAATAGGTCATTACCGCTAATATTACTGAAGCCCCTACATGTGCCTATCAATCCTACTATTTTCCTGGATTCTTTCTGAAAATGACTATCCTTCATTTTTATTTTTATCATACCTCTTTAAAAACAGTTTTACAACTTAAGAACTCGATTTTAAAAAAATATTTTAT